ATGTATGATGTTGTACTGTGGATTGACGCAGAGCGCGATTTGGCAACAAGCTTCAGGAGCTGTGCAGCATCTTTAGTTGAGCTGGGCCCTGACCTCACACCAATGCAAGTAAAAGCGAAGTTGGACGACCACCTTCGTCAGTACAAGTATTGGCTGATAATCTTCGACAACGTCGAGAAAACAGCTGATATCGAGCCGTACCGTCCCGCCGGTACGGGCCACGTCCTCATTACCTCGCGATATCAGCTGTGGGACAAGGGCAGCACAGTGGAACTGGGCAGGCTTGCACGAATCGATGCCGTCGTTCTGCTGTACAGGAAGATCGTCAGTGATGATGCGGCCGCCATGGACACGGCAAAAGCACATGTGAGGGATTCGTTGCTGCCCTGGGACAGCCAAGACCCAGCAGATCGCTCAGCGCAGCCACCTGCTTGTGTACCAACAAACGTGGTGCAATGCTGGGATCTTGCAGTTCTTCTCGACGACTTCCCTCTCGCGTTGGTGCAGGCCAGTGCAGCAATTCGATTCTTCGGCTTTGCAATCCACGATTACTGCGAAGAGTACAGGACTGCATACAGCAGTTTGCAGAAAGAAGAGGAGGACTCTCTCGATCCTGGCTACGCAGATGGGTACAATCGCTCGGTGCATGCAACACTGAAGATCATCCTGTCAAAGCTTGCCCAACGAGACATGGACCACACCTCGGCTTCGGAAAGAGTGTCGCTGAAGTCGTCAGCTTTGGGTGTGTAAGCATTTGGCAACCTTTTGCAATTCTTCTCTCCAAGGTGTTGGGTGCAGTGGCGTTGCTCGATGCAGCGATTATTCCACACAACCTCCTTTTCGCATTGGTCGAGGAGATGTGCCCGGAGCTGACATCAAATGTCCAGAAGCTCGGTGTGCTCGGCAATCTCTGGCGATGTTCGCTGATCTCACGCTTGACTGAGGCCACTAGACCTGAGCTAGCTGTGAGTGTGATATGTCTGGGGCAGACTTGGGAACTCACTCAGGACCTGCTTGATAAGAGCACGAGCCGGAACTGCCAGCAGGACGGGAAACGCTTATTCAGATACAGTATCGTCTTGTCTTGGGTGAGGGGTTTGCAGGATGACTGTGGTGTTGCCCCATCAAACTCTGCGATGCCCTGCGAAGGACTACACTGTCCACCGTGTGGTGCAGCAGTTCGTACTCTGTCAGATGGACCAGAACAGCCGGCATGAGGCAACGATAACCTTGTCAGTCAATCGCAAGACAGCTGTTCCAGACACATTCACATCTAAGACTATACAATTCCAGTATGCAAGGGGTCTCAAGGGTGGGTCCGGCGTGCATGGCGAACAAGGATAGAATAAGTGAGTGCCGAAAGGAACAATATCGGAGGAAATGGTTGGCTGTCTTGCGGTCACGCTGCTCATGGACGTAAAAAATCTGCTGCCAGGCACAGCAAGTTTCCCGGTACAATGGGGTCGCGATCAAAATATTTAAGGTAGGTTTCAATTCTTCCATGTGTTCACATTCTCTTTTTCTTGCTTCTAATGAATTGGATAGTTTCTCCGTTTGTATCAATACCATATCCCAGTTGTCCCACCCACCTTTTTGTCTTATACATTGGTAAATATTTTCTATTATGCTGTATGTCTTTGGGGTTATTACAAACTCGTTTATGACATCCCTTCCGTGTTTTGAAATCTGTAGTGTGTCCTATGTAAAAGTCCTTAACGCTAATATCTTTACAAACAATTTTATAAAAATGTGTATTAGAATAATCTATCTCTTTGCGTGGCATTATGTGTTATAACGTGTAAAGTCATCATTTCTTTAAATGCTATTCATCTCCTATTTCAAATCGTTTATCAAATCTGACATAGAACATGTGATTTATATCTTTGGCATTTGTATTTATGAAGAAAAATGAGTATGGCGCGTCGTTTACTGCTTGTTGATACATTTCATACA